CACCTACTCGCCACGATTGTATTGTAGTATATCACAAATTAACTTAGTACTGTTACGTCAAAATTATTGAATTGTTGCGTAAAATAAATTCAATAGTCTTTACTCCCTCACGGGTGAAGCACTATTTTATTTTATTTTTGTTTTTTTTGCTGAAATTACACTAAAGAACACAACTTTCAATCAACTGAACAAACTACTTTCTCAGAATGAATTCATTCGGTTTGCACATTTAGTCTCAAATCAACCTGCGAATTGTCTCGTCCAATCAAAATTCTGTCTCAAGTCTTTTCTTTTTCTTTTGCATTTTACTCGAATGAATATATTGCAATTTTATTGCTTTTTTCACCAAGAAAATATTTGAAATTACATTTATTTAATGTGATGCATAGGTTTATTTCTTGTGATTTGTGTTCCCTCGATTCGATTTTTTGCGTGATTATTTATTTTGCATAATTTATTTGTGTGTTGAAAATGGCTAGTGAAAATAGTATCTCCCTGAGGTAAACTGTAATTACAAAAAAATCTCTTCTTTTTGAGAAATTTACATTTAGACTCTTGTATTTTTTTAAATTTCTTATATTCATTTACATAAAGGGTGTTAATATAAGAAATCTACAAATTCCAGCGGTGAGTGTAATTATGAAAAATCCCTTCTTTTTAGAAATTACATTCAGACCCCTGCATTTTTAAATTTCTTACATCCACCCCCTACAAAAGGGTGTTAATGTAAGAAAGTTACAAATTACAGGGGTGAGGCAATTACAAAAAATCCCTTATTTTTTAGAAATTACATTCACCCCCTGCATGTTTTAAATTTCTTACATTCACACCCTACAAAGGGTATTAATGTAAGAAATTTACAAAAAATGCAGGGGTGGATGTAATTATAAAAAACATTATGAGGTGTTTTTGTAAATGATTTCACCTCGGGGTGTTATTGTAATTTAACCTTAAACTTTATGCGACTAAATCTCTGCCCCTGACTTTTTGTTGTCAAAGGGGCAATCTTTATCAAACAGAAGTGGAGGCCAAATGATTTGAATTTGAACAAAAATTAGGTTGCTTTTTTTCCAGACCTATTAATCATTACCAGATTTACATACGTAGAACAAGTTGTGCAGAAAGAACATCATTAATTAAGTTCTTTGCCAATTTTATGTTTTTAATTATTATTAATTTTGGTCCAAATATTTTGCACGATATTAATTGATGCCAACCCAATTGATCGACCGCAAACCCATTTTCTTCTAACTGGCCCCCATAGAGCAATCATACGGGTATGGGTCGTTGCGATCCAATCAATAAGGTCTCGTTCGATTATCTGTATCGATTTAATTTGTTACTAATTAGGTAATTACTTAATTAGTAAGATGTTCGGTTCTATACATATTAAATCTAGTATTTGTAGATAAAGTTGTTAATTTTCTATTTTATTACAAAATTATCGAATTAAGTTCTACTATTTAGTCAATATAACTTAAAAGTGATAGTCGAAAGAGACTTAAGGTATATAAGGTGACATATTTCGTTTAATCAGAAAATCAAACTTTATATATTTAATTATTTAAATCTCCAATTTGTAAATTTAATTATCACTTCTTTTTTTTTTTCAATTCAAGAGTATTAATTTTGAATTAAAGAATTTGGCAACGGTTATCTGAAGAAAAGAAAAAAGAAAAAAGAAAAATAAAAGAATTGATACCTTCACTTTGTTATTACAACGTTAAAAAGACACACATCATTTAACCTTTCCATCTTTGTCATGCTGCAGGCTAACCAAAGGTCCAAAACTACCAACCACCTAACTAGTTTTTATTTTATTTTATTTTTTCCTTTAATTTGATATTTTTATTTATTTTAAACCTCCAAAGTTGAAAGAAAATGAAAATATTGTTTCATTTTCTTTATTTGTGAGACAACGTATCAAAACTTTGCTCGCTTCTTACAATTCAGGTTACTATGGGATGTGATACTTGTCGTTTCAGTTTTAGTTAATACTTACTTCAAACTTGATTTTGGCCATTTTTTAGTCTGCTTTCGGCAAAACTTAAAACGCCGAATTTGCAGTGTTTTGAGTTAGTTTTCTGATCCAGCTTAAATTTCTAAGATTGAATGTCGGATGAGAAAGATATGCCTGAACCATGAACACTACCCGCAACTTTTGATGTTTTGAGTTATCTAAAATACAAAATGTAAATGACTCGACATCCAATCTAGCTGATTCAAGTTCAATTAGAAAGCTAACTCAATAACTGCAACGATTGTAACCTAAATTCTACTCGTTTTTATAATTATTCACTTTGATTCATTATAGTTATTAATATCTTTGTGCAAGTACTTATAACTTATAAGTAAGATATTAAAAGGTTAGTTAAAGTCAATAGACGTATGAATTTTCTAATAAACTTGAATTTTCTAATAAACTTGAATTTTTAAGTTTAAAATATAAAAGAAAAATTAAGTTCAGGCAAGAGGAAAAGTAGGATTTAGATTTTAAAAATTAATTACGCTAACAATCATAACATATTTTTAAATTCGCACCCTTTTGGCTTTATCCCTGGAGCAAACCACGATTTGCCTAGTTAAATTTGAGTCATAATCAAGTTGCCAAAAAGAGAAAAAATTAGATTAAATTATTTAAAAAAAAAAAAAAAAAAAAAAAAGCAAACAACGAGGTCCTACTTGATTAATTTGGCTTATCTCCACTAATTAATCAACTATTCTTGAAAAAAAAAAAACAGCCTAGTTAAATACTTAAATTTGAGTAATAATTAAGTTGACAAAAAAAAAAAAAGAAGAAAAAGCAAACAAAGGGGTCCTACATGATTAAAATTGGATTATCTCCACTAATTAATCAACCTTAATTAACTATTCTTGAAAAAAGAAATTAGCCCGTTAAGTAAGAGAATGGGTAGTTAAATGAGACCCGAGTTTGTAACGCATGACTTTTATATCTATTGTAGTTTATATCTCTGGTATAATTTACAAGTTATTGCAAGAGATTGATAAGTTGTCTGTTCTTTATTTATTAATAAATTGAAAACACAATAGATTTTATTTTAATTGTTTGGTTTGTCATGATGAGATTGAAGACTAAGATTTGCCCAAGCCATACTAGGGCAAACCCCACAAACCCACTAAATGAAGTCAATTAATAAATAGTTATTATTAGGTTGGGATTTTTTTAATTTTTTTTTTCATATTTCTAAATGATTAAACCATGATATGATGAAATAATAAGTAAATCGTGCTATATGTGGGGTAAAAAAGTCATAGTGGGTGTTCGAATTTTGAAAAAGAACCATTGTTATGTTTCATAGTAGGTAAGGATGCATCCAACTTTAATTCTAATTTTGCCACGTGTTAGAGGTTTTTATATAAAAAAAATTAAAATATATTTTTTTATTATGAGATATAAAAAAAAAGTGAAATGATTATGGGCTTCCCGCTTATGATGCACGGAAACTTCTGTACACACGCGTTTCACGTTTTGGAAACCGAAACGCATGACATCCGTCGGAAACGTTTTGTGGCCATTTTTATAAATATTTAAAAGTTTTGGGGATGTTTTGATAATACAAAAATAGAAACGTTGTTCCATTCAAATGACGATGAATAGTGTTATCTAATAATTAAGTGCCACGTGGAGAATGTCTGGTACAACTGTGTAGTACTGGATAAGAAACCAAACTTAAACAGTATATAATTTGTATTTAAACGGGAAATAGTAAAAATTATTTTTCACTTACAAGAAGAAAACATGTGACACGCACGTGCAACTGCAAATTGGTCTCCGCCGTAGGAAGAACGAAGTCAAGATATATGTGTATGTTAAAAGGCTGCCGCAAATACCAAAGTTTTGACTAAATTATTTTAATTAAATTAAACTATTACTATAGGTCTTTTTTTTAAAACAAAAAACTATTGATGTTGCATTCTTGATTCAATATATTTTTTTTCAGTATAATAATATAATTTTTTTTTTAATTAAAATACACAATATCTAAAATGTGGTTCGAATATGTAGTATACATTACGTACTTGGGTCTCGTTTGGTTGGAAATATTAACCATGATTAATTAAATAATCGAACTTTAATTTGTTTGATGTTTAATTTGTTGTATCCAATATTTTTTAGGGTCAATCTACAAATATTATATAATCATAATAATCTTGTTTTTAAATGAGTTTTTCGGACTAAAGTTTTTTGGCAACTAAACAAGACCTTATAATTAGTGGATCGACTATATTTTTCTAGAATGAAAAGACTTATTCCAAAATTGAATTCATCCACATATAATATATGATACATAATAATATTCATATTGTAAATGTAATTTTGGAAAAAATAATCGAAAAATAGAATTAGATCAGTTACGTAATCTAATGTGTATTATTACAATTTGGGCAAATTACGGCCATCCCCTTGAGGTATGGTTAAATTACGAAAAAACTCCTCTCGTTTGGGTAATTATAGTCACGCTCTCGTTTTAAATATTTTTACATAAAATTTATGTAATTCGATTATTTACCGAACCAAATCGTATATTCAGTTCGGTAAACGGTATGAAATGTTGGCGTACCGAAATTTCGATTCATTTTTTTACCGATGTAACATCTCTAAATTTACCTTTGAAGGGGTATTTTCGTAAGATAATACATAGTTGAGGGAAGTGACTGTAATTACCCAAACAAAATAGGGGTTTTCGTAATTTGACCATAACTCAGGAGTGGCCGTAATTTGGCCTTCAATTTTCTTCCAAAATTTTAGAAATTTCAAATCGAAATCGGTAAAAATCTGAAATATCATTTTAATTACCACCTCTAATAATTGCACACATAGATTTAGAATTATTTGAATAAATAAATTATTTAATTTCGATTGGAAGTGATAAATGACGATTGAACAGAAGAAAGATATGTGAGAGAAAAGCAGGAAAATCCAACAGAGGGGATAGAATAAAAATCAGTACAACCTATCCCTATCCCTATCATAGCAAACAAACACACCCAAAATTGCTCGAATCCATTCACGGGTTTTATTTTCTTCCTAAATTTCTCCAAATTCATTATTACAATCCGACCATTGTCCTGCGCTACCTTTTGTACTATCTCTAATTCATTTTACCATTTCTATATAATGTTTTATGTTGTACTCTAATAGTTAGTTTCAACGAATGTGGTAATAATAATAATAATAATAATAATAATAATAATAATAATAACAGCAGGAACAACAATAATAATAACAACAACAACCAGATCGTATATATATGATGTGGTGTAAATGAAGCGAACTTGCTATTATCTTCGAGTTCGAGCTCGTGCTTGAGTCAAATTTGGTGAGGTTGAGCTTTTACTTGATTACCTTATGAATGATCAAAAGATGGGCTCGAGCTCGAGCTTTTGTCGAGCTAGCTAAACGAGTTCATGAGCCGAGTCAACTCATTTACACTCATTATATGTATGGACGAAATGTTTGGAAAATTGCATTTTTTTATGTCAAATAAAATCTATTAATATATATATACACTATTTCGTACGAAACTAGTTAGATAATTCGAACCAGAGGGCTCGAGCGAAATTCGACTTGAACCAAACTCGTAGTTACGTATAATTTTGTTGGTGTTTAGTTAATTTAGTAAATCGATCAATATTAGACTGAACAAGATGAGAAATTCATATTGAATGTCATAAGCTAGCTAGATAAGATTTAAAAAAAAAAAAATCATTTACCTAATTATGGCAATATATATCATATGTTTTGAATTTATGGAAAATTATTTGTATTTAAAGGTAAACTAATAAGTGAGAAAATATATGGTAATATTATTAGTCTCAACATATAGGGTAAATTACAATCAACCCCTGAAGTATTGACAAATTATGACAAAACTCTTCATATTTGGATAATTACAACTATCTCCTTTAACTATGAATTTTCTTACATGTCCATCCTCATGGTGTCAAATTCAACATAATCTTCTAGATTCCATGAAAAGTTCTCTAGTTTGTACTCGTTTTGTGCATAAATACAGTTTAAATTGCACCACAATCTGATATATATACAAACCAAAAAACACATCTTATGATGATCATCTCGCTTCAAAATGTGAAAGTCGAATGAGATAAAACGGGTACAAAATTAAGAATATTCCGTATAATCTAGAAGATTCCACTAAATTTGACACCGCAAGGATGAACGTGAAAGAAGATTTATATTTGAGGGAATGGTTGTAATTATCCAAACATGAGAGCTTTTTTTCATAATTTGACTATACCTCAAGGAGTTGGTTGTAATTTATTGTGTTAGATCCAAATATATTATCCGGGTCGGTTCATGACCCGCATTGACTCAAATTGGACACTTATTCGGGTCAAAATCGAGTACACATGTCACAATTATAAAGCAGAAGAAAATGTTAATTTTGCCATAAATGAAGATAAATTAAATGCAAAGTCCAGAACAGAAATGAGGTTTTGTTAATAATGATAGGGGCAAAAGTGGAAAGGACAAAATTGAAACGTAACTGTGCCGACGTTTTCCGTTACGCCTCGCTTTCGAGCCGTCTGATAAACAGTCCCACGCCACTTAACGGCTTCCGTCACTGCTATAAATACGGGCTCTTTTTCCACATAGACACTCACCACCCACCAGACTATCACTCTCACACATCCCCTCTCTCTCTCCTCTCTTTCTCTCTCTACAATCTCACACACACACAGTGAAAATATTCTCTCTCTTACACACACACACACAGCAGAGTGTGAAAAGGAGAGAGAGAGAGATACAGTCTGGATATTTGAAAATGGTTGCGTGAAAAAGAAGAGTAGTATCTCTGTGCTTTCTTGATAGATTCATTCCAACACACACACACACACACACACACACAAAAACACACAGTAATACACGCAGTATCACACCACAGTAATAATGGGATGGAAATTAGAACAACCTCGGAAAGAGAAAGAGAGAGTTCAATCCGTACTCGAACTTCTCAAGAAACAATCTCCTCTTACTGTCAAACAGGTTCGCCATACACACACACTTACACCTCCCACTGCGTGTTTATATATATGTCTGTGTTATATATATTTTGTTTACAATATACAAGTTTTTTTTTTTAATGTTCGTTATGGAGCAAAAAAAAAAAACACAAACACACACCAACACATGTGTGTGTGTGTGTGTGGGTGGAGAAGTGATTTGATTGGCTAACAAGTATGATGACGTGGCAGGAGAAGTTCTGCAACAATGCTTGTGTGGAGAGGTTCTTGAAATCAAAAGGAGATAGTGTGAAGAAAGCAGCTAAGCAGCTTAAGAATTGTCTTTCATGGCGAGATTCCATTATCTGCACTGGTAAATTAATTCATTCTTTTAATTAATTCATTAATTTATTTATTTATTTCAAAATTTATTTTTTGGACTGATTAACTTTTTTTTTGTCTGTTGTCTACTTTTTTCACATTTTTTCGTCTTGTTTTTAAACCGAGGAATCTTACTTTTTTTTTGTAGTATTTTGAAATAAAGAGCAAAAGTAATTTAAATAAATATTACTATATGACACTGATTTTAATGTAATGTGTATATTTATTTTTTAATTTTATTTTTAATTTTGAAGATAATCTGATAGCTGATGAATTCTCTGCTGAGATTGGTGAGGGTGTTGCCTATGTTGCTGGTCATGACGATGAATTAAGGCCTGTCGTGGTAATTATTATTTATTTTTTAATGTATTTAATTATGCTGCTAATTACAATTAAATATTAATTGTATTTTATGCTGCTAAATATCAGATATTCCGAATCAAGCAAGATTATCAGAAATTCCATTCTCAGAAACTGTAAGCTTCATAATTTTATCTACTTCTGGAAGTGGGCCTATTTCCTTTTTCGTTTTATTTATTTATTTTATTTTATTTTATTATATTTATTTATTTATTTATATTTTAACTGTTGCAGGTTTACTAGGCTGCTAGTATTCACACTGGAAGTTGCCATACAAACCATGGTTAAAAATGTTGACCAATTTGTTCTCCTCTTTGATGCCTGTAAGTCTTTTTTTTTTTTTAATTAATCATTTAATCTCAATATATTATATCATATAATTATGTTTTTTTAATAATAATGATGAAAATAATAATTACTAGGAATTTTCAATAAATATACACTCTGTGTAACAAAATCTAAAACACAGCTTTATAATGTAAATTCCCATAATGCATAGGGATTCCACACAAAATTCCCACTTTAATTAACCAGTCTGAAAAAAAAAAAATCATAATCCTTTGTTTAATTTCCAATGTTCACGCCTAATTACTCAATTAATGAGCACTTAATTATTTAAGTAAATCAATCATGTCGGAAAATCGGATAGAAGACTGTGTCGGAAAAAAACTTTTTCAGACATTGCCCGGAGTGCCCCTGATGTGTCACGGTCAGGTCTAGTGTATGTAGGGGTATATTATGTCATTCAATCATTCTCTTAGCTCAATTATGTTTATTCAAAAGGAACCATAATTCTTTTTTTCTTTTTTTTTTTAATTTCTTCTTATTACATGTCAGACCCAGACCCAACAGTAATTTGAATTTTCTTGACTTTTCATTAAAAAAAAAAAAAAACAAAAAAGGGGTCCCATTATTATTTGATAAAATTATATATATTATTTTATTTTATTTGAATTTTTTTTGGGGTTTGTTAGATTCTTGTTGACTAAAATGTGATTTATAACTGTTGAGTGGGAATAAAATTGCAGGCTTTTTCAGGTCAGCGTCTGCTTTTATGAATATGTTGTTGCCAGCACTGAAAATAGTAGCGGATTATTATCCGGGTCGGGTTCACAAGGCCTTTGTAATTGACCCGCCCTCCCTATTTCCTTATCTTTGGAAGGTATATATATATAATTTAATTTAATATATATATATATATACCTTAATAGAATGATTATTTATGTGTGTTTTAATCATATTATTTAATTTTATTTTGGCTAATTTTATTTTAGGGAATGAAATCATTTGTGGAGCTTTCACCATTGACAACGGTGGTCTCTTCGATCGATTTCGAGGACTCGCAAGAGTACTACAACGACTTCACGACGTACCCTCGAGCGGCTTCCCTCCGTTTCGACACCTCATCGGCCGCGAAGCTCGGCCCGTGCTCCTCCTCGAGATTCTCCTTCACCGTCTCCCACCACTTGGACTCGCTCAAACCGTGGTACCTCTCGTTGACCAACGACACGTCAGCGTCAAAAGTGGGGCCCACCACGAACCCTAATTCCCTCTCGTCGGGTCCAACCATCTCACCTCTCAACGCGAGGTCCCACTCCTTCGCCTCCCCGACCGCCCGGGGGCCGCCGCCACCGCCACGCGGCGGCGGCGGCACCGACTTCTTCGTCCGGAAGGGATTCTTCCCATCGACGCCGATGCCGCAGAAGACGCAAAAGTTTGACCAGTCAACCATCCGCCACCCAAGAACTCCGAAACCCTCGTTCCTTCAATCCCCGGCGATGTTCTTCCGGTCGAATAAAGATGTGATTCATCAAGCGAGCAAAATCGAGAAGTCGCGCGAGTCGTTCGTTCCGTTTCTGAAGTTCTACCGAAGGCCGTACGACGAGATGATCTACCGGTCGAAGATGAGGCCTCCGTTGGGTGGCCTCATCTCGATCGTCTCCCCACAAATCATCCGCCGACACATGTCGATCTCCCAACGGTTCTAGATCAAGAAATTAAGAGTGCATGCATAGATTTATATATAATATATATCTTCCCCTTTAACCAAAATAATTGTTATAACTAATTCATTGTTTTCTCCTAATTAAATTGTTTCTCAATTTCAAAAGGGTAATTTATTGCATAGTTATAGTTCACTGATTTTGTCTCCAAGATTTTGTGTAAAGAAATAGACTGCGTGCTAAGTGGTTTGTGAAATGTCGTGCAATATAATTATATACATATTTAATAATTTAATTAATTATGTCACACATTTAGTGCCAAGTGGTCTAAACATTGGTTTTGTGCCAAAAGAAAAAAACATAACATGGAAGTAAGATAACGTGGTCGTGACGGTGACCACCTCATCGGAAATAATCAACGTGCCGGCGAAATCTCCGAGGAAGAACTAAATTTACCTACTAATTAATTACTATTTGTACTTTATTTTTTTATTTTTGCTAAATCAAAAAAATAATAAAATAAATAAAAATTGGTTGGACTTGGTGATGTTAATTATATAAAATTAGTACATTTTCAAATATTTGAAATTTTGATTTATTATTTTAACCTTTCGGTTGGACTTTAATTTGCAATGTCAATGGCTCTAATTTAAAAGAATAAAAAAATAAATTAATTGGAGCCATGTCTGAAAACTCTTCCTCTTGTAATCTTGTTATTTGTACTAATCTAGTCAGTTAATTATATTTAAATTAAATCGTAATTATGTTGGTTTTAACAATGGTAGGAATATATGTATGTGTTACAAAAGTCAATTTGAGCAGATTATATTCTCATATATATTATATATGTATATGAACATGACCTTGTGAAACTGTATTGGGAACTGAAATTTACACACACTAAAATGTGAATACATACACATACACCTACGTGTGTGTGTATATATATATGTAATAATATTTTGTCACGTATTAATTTGTCGTTAATCAATCAAGGTTATGTGCTTAAAGCTGTGTTTTCCAATAATTTTGTTTATAACTTAGTTGTTTTATTCAATAATAATAAGATTTTGTTTTGTATTTTAGCTTATGGTTAAGTTTGATGTAGACAAAATTCCTTTTTGTACTAGCTTTATTTTTTCTTTAATATATATTGGAAAAATACAGGTTACATTCCTCAGATTTGCACCGATTTCACATTTGGTCCTCGATGTTTACAAAAAACACATTCGATCCCTCAACTTTGAAAAATTCAACATTTTTAGTCTTTTCCGTCAAGGTTCTGTTAAAACTAACGAAATCAAGCATGTGCCCTCACTATCGAAAGCATGTGCCCTCACTATCGACGGCGATGACCAAAAATATTAAATTATTGAAGCATGAGGGATCAAATGTAATTTTTGAAAATATGAGGGGTCAAATGTGAAATATATGCAAACTTGAGGGGTGCAAAATGATAATTTTACGTGTATATATATATTAAGTTGTATGTGTCACTCACTTCAAGAGATGATCAGAGGGGCTCAGTGGAGAAATGTCAAAGTGATAATACATAAAATAGATTAAATATTGATTTGTTTATCTGTTTTATTTATTTGTAATTAAATGAAAAACTGTTGATATTTGGAATTTTATGGTTTGTTTCTTAAAGGACAGTCTGCCATTAGCAGGTATTATTGTAAATTCTTGAAAGTGACATTCAAGAATATTATTTAATGTAGATGCTTACTAGATCTGCACATTTTATTTCAGGGATAGAATATTGTGCTTGATGTTATATATATTTATTTATTTTATATTTATATATAATTATATATACACGATGTGACTTAACATTTCTGTTAATTGCTTTGATTTTTAGACATTAGTTAGTAAAAATTAAACCTACTTTAACATTAGTTTGAAGGTTAGTTACCTGCAGGGGGCTAGGTGTAATTTCTCAAAAACGAAGAGTTTTTTTGTATTTAAACTTCAAATTAGGGAGGTGGATGTAAATTACCAAATATCTTTTTACGGGCCACTTATAGAAAACATTAGTCTTCGAAGCCATTAAGTGGTAAGAGAAGAAGTACTAATTTGTCAATATTTCTTGATCTATGTCTCTATTCTGCACAATCTCTATATTATCTGTAAAGATCATTAATTATATGCGCACTTACGACTTTTCATAACAAGCCTCGTGGATACTTGCATGTTCAGCTAGATTCCAACAATCTGGCTGAATCCCTTTTC